TATATTAAAATAATATATATTAAAATATATATATATATACACATGTATATGTACGTGTATATTTACAAACGCGACCGTTTTACCGTTGTTATTTATTAGCGGCCGCAAAAGCAGTAGCGACAACATTATTGTACTATAATGTGCTATCAGATCACGAGGATTCGATTTGTTGGTTATTATTATCGTTATTATTACTTCAAGTCATTCGGCACATTTGACACGTTTGATACACCGACCGAGTCAGCTTATCACCGTCACAGATGCCGGTAACAATGTGAATGTGAATCACACGCGATAATGACAGATATAATGATAGATTGATTGCCAAGTTACCAATTGTGAAATTTTGTTCATACTAGAATTATTACCAAATCGATTACCTACACTGGCAAATCGCGGATAATTTGAACAACTGTTACACATGAAAACAAATCCAAGTGCAAAAACATAATATAAGCAATTATTTATAATTGAAAGATATCTATTAGATTCGGAAAAAATTAATGGAGACCGACTGGATTTGAACTCGGGATCCCTCGTCTACCAATCCGACACTTAGTCTGCACGACCACGACGGCTCCTCTCTGTTAGCTGTTTATATTCCGAATCTCTTTCATGACCGCTTACGGTCGTCTAATTCTTACATAATTAATATGATCAATAAGATATACTCGATATATGTTATATACTCTATATATGTTATGTGATATATATATGTTATTCAACTAAAGACAAAGTTAATTTCGAATATCTTACTAATCAAGAATTTTACATATATTTTATAACAATTGACTTTATATATTAAAGTTTTACATATTTTATATATTTTATATATTTTATATATTTTATATATTTTATATATTAAAGTCTTTAATGCATTTCGATATAAATAAAAGACTGGTATAAATAACTTCGGTATAAATAAATTACTGAATTCACTCTATCGACAACCAGATTTTAGACTTCAATTTAACTTGCGAATCTCGAGCTTCCGTGGCGATTCATGAATAAATCAATAAAGAATTAACACAAGATAAACTTTAATCACAGTATATACAGTAGCGCAACTCTCCCGATTTTAGCGTGTACAAATAGTGTTTTTTATCATTTAAATGCCCAACAAACTGGCGAAAACAAACATCTGATACATAGAAGTGAAATCGTAAAAAATTTATTCTGTTATGTAAGGGGATCCTAAAGTCTGTCCTGTTTTATCGACCAAACCGATTAATTTTCCAGTACGCTAATTTCCTAATTACATTTGCAGATTTAAAAATCCTTTTTCACAATTAAAGTATACCTATGTAAGTCATACCGGTCGACTTTATATTACCGAGAATGAAAAAAAATTTAAGAAATTTCGATCTTTTTTACCGACTCAGTCCAATATGGAGTCAAAAGCTGTCAACATGTGCGAATATTTGCTTCATATAAAAATTTGGCAGCCTATTTGTACAAAATGAGACCGGTAGGAAGTGCGAATTACATGCAGGAACAATAGAGCAACAATTAAGCTTGAAAACGTGATATAAAAGATTAACGTGCCTGAAAATCTGTTCATATATGTATCATGTGTGTACAGAAATGTGTGAGTGTATGTATGTACACATAAATATGTATATTTAGATGTGCTTGTGTGTAAATGTTTTCATCGAAGTTCGCTCGTTAGTTTAAAATCCCTTTAAGGGGATGTTCATAGACTAATCATAATCGAGTATTCTTTTCATATTCATTATAATTGATCAATTTCTTACTTCTTAAAGTTTAAATCACCTATTGTGAACTGACACTAAGGCGTGTTAAGGGTCGGCAGGAGTGACAGGCAAACTCCGAATTGATATTGGAGACCCAGTGATACCCGAAACTCCGATCTCAGGTTTACCAACGCCGAGAAATAAAATCTCAGTTTCGATGATTGGTGTGTGACCATATACGTACAAAATCATCGCATTGCTCACGCGGCGCAGAGAGGAAGGATACGGAATTATATTCTTTCATGCGTCATCCTTGTTCTTCTACTATGCCGATGGTACACGAAGTACCGAGAGCGATCAAAGCCGAAGCATATCGCTTTGCCGAAATACGGCCCAGAAATGCTTTCTGGCCTTTCGAGATAGAAAGCAGTGATGCAATAAGATAAATGAGCGCCCACTTTTTATAAATTTTTTATTTGCATATGTATATACATATATGCGTATATGTATACTTATAATATCTAAAATTTATATACATGTTTCAAAATGTATAATAATAAATAATGGTAATAGAATAATAATAAAGAAACCCAGTAAACATTAAGACGTCTTAAAGACGACTAAAATATGTCCTAATGGTTTTTCGGAAAGGTGTACAGAAAGACATCTAAAAGACGACTAAAAGACGTCTTATGTCCCGATTTTAGACGTCTTATAAGACAACTTTTGGACGTCTGATAAGACAATTTTTGGATATTTTACAAGACATTTTTTAAACGTCTTATTAAATGTCTTTTGAACGTCTTATAAGACAACTTTTAGACATTCTTTATGACATTCTC